ATTTGTTTTGATTTAATAATAATACTAAATCATTTTATTTCCTTATGCCAATTTTTGTAGGAACTAATGATATTATTCCAGAGCTCCTCAACAAGTGGCACAATTTTTGGACATATATTATATATATAACATATATATATATATATATATATATATATATATATATATATATATACAATGCAAATAATTATGCATTAATTCCGAATGCCCAAACTAAATACTTATGAGCTCCTAAAAATATTGGTTTGATTTTTATCTCTGTCCAATATTTTCAGAGAGCAACATGAGCATTTTCTTGGACCTTTTTGGAGAAATTTTTATCTGGGTCATTTCCAGAAATGATTCTGAGGGTTTCACAAATCCCCATTTCAAAATTAAATGGAATTTAAACATGATGCACAAATGACTAGGTAGTCTAGGTCATACCAGAACTAGGGATGTGACACTGGTGCGGTGTTGTCTTCAGGTTAGTCATGTCCTTGCAACATTTCATCAGGTGACTCTTCAGTATGCTCTTCAGTGGCCATGAGGTTAAGTGTCTTATATTGTGCGCATTTGTGGCCAAAGAACCACTTGCCTCCACAATATCTGCAAGTGCCAGGCTCTCTGAATTTCTGTTCAGGTTTAGTTGTCTTGTCCTCTCCTTCCCTCCTCTGTGGTGTCTCATTTTGCTTATATTTATTGGGGAAATGAGCAAAGTTGTTTGTCTTCGCATACCCACTATTGGGTGTATATCTTTTCTGGTTTGCTTGGGCATGAACTCCCATTTCCATGTCCCTGGCATTTTCTACTGCATCATACAGTGTAATGGTTTAAACGGCTTCAGGTAGTGTTTGATTTCAGGTCTTAACCCATTGATGTAGCACTTGACATAGTATCCTTCAGCAGCTCCAGGATTCTCTTTTTTGTATGCAGCCATTCTTTCCTCGAATTTATCAGTATAGGCAGCAACTGAATCAGCTCCCTGTTTGAAGGAGTTGAAATTTTCCACTATCTCATAAGAGCTATCTCCAGAAAATCGTTTAAGGATTGCTGCACAGAACTGGTCCCATGTCAAGTTTTCCCGAAGAATGCCAGAGTTTCTTAACCAAGTAGCAGCTCTACCAGTGAGATACATCTGGGCATAGTCCCATTTTGCTTCTTCTGGTACATGGACCATAGAAAAGAATTTCTCTGTCATCCGAAGCCATTCCATTGGATTTGTACCATCAAATCTAGGGAATTCTATTCTAGGAGCTTTGGCAATTGATCTGTAGAAGTGGGCATCTCTGTCTTGACCTCTGTTATTGTCATAGTGTCTGTCAAAGTGCCTGACTTGCTCTGGGTTTTGCTGGAACTGGTGTTGCTCTCTGTTTTGTGGAGGGGGGGCTTGCATGTAATGTGGCTCTGGTGGATAGTAATGGTGGTATTCATATGGGACTTGTTCAGGGGGATAATAGTGTGGAGGAGGGGGTGGTGGGGGTCTGATTGGGTAAAACTGATGTTGTGGGACATGACGCTGATTTGGGTAGTACTCCTGATGCTGATATGCAGGTGGGTAGTATATTTGTTGCTGTTGAGCTTGAGAATAATCAGGATTGTCATTATACTGCCCTTGCATGGCGTAATTGACTTGGGGGTATTGTGTGTATGGTTGCTGATCCATGTATTGTTGCTGCTGCTCTTCTGCCCAACCAAAGTTGAGCGCTTGTTCCTGCCCTCGGCGTCTCCAAACTGGTGTTCCCCTGTTCAATAGAGGCGATGTATTTGCCTGGGTCCTGTTAACTTGGCCAGGCTGCTGGGGAGGCGGTTGTTGCTACTGTTGTGGTTGGACTTGGCACTGCTGTTGCTGCCCTGGTCTCGCCTCTTCTGCTGTTGTTACTCTGGGACGCGGGGAAGTGTCCAGCTTCTCCTCCATCCGCAACATCAATTCTTCCAGCCATGTGAGCTGCTTCTTGACATCAGTAACCTCTGTGCGCACGCTCTCCACCTTGGTATGGAGGCCGTCGACCTTGCCGTCTAGCTGCTCCATGTCCAGCTTCATCTTTGCAACTTCGGCGGCATCCGCCTTGTCCTCGCCCTTCGATTTCGCCATGGAACGAGATCCGGCTCCGGAATTTTACCACAAGGACGAGCCTTGGAACCGTCGCGAGATCTCGGCTCCCTGCCGCCACCAGCGCTCCTCGCCGCCGAAGGCACACGAGCCGACCTTGGTCACGGGATTTTACTACCAGGAGAGGATCTCGCCGGCAACCGCACCTAGCTGTCGACTTGTGCCCGAACTGGTCTACCGCCGCCGTTCCCCTCCTTTCCTCACGCCGCCGCCGCGCCGCCGAGGACCGATGACATCTGATACCAATTTGTTAGATCCCAACTATGATATGAGTTACAGAACAGGGGAATAATGCAATTGGAACTGAATTTAACTCCCAATCTCGGAGACCCAGCTATGAATTTGGGATTTCTACAGCAGTAGCTAAATAAACTAGGGTTTGATAGTTTGGGGATACAATGATTGAATGGTTCTCAGTGATGCGCACGCAGGCGCCTTATAGTCCAGCACCGAGCTGGAAAGCGAGGTGAAAAGAAAGGCAGTGCTTGGTGCTGCATCGACCGTCCATCTCGCTCCGCCATCTCAGCCGTCGGATCTTCATAACTGTGGCTGAACCGACACACTGCATATAACTGAACTTACAATGGTGTTGACTCAGAGGATGCAGGTTGCTGACAGTTGGGTTGTCACCACTATATTCGCACCCGTGCAAATAATGACCGACTTCCCATCGTCGAAGCAGAGCGACAACTCGAGGCATTGCAAAGAGGAGGAAGCCAGGCGAAGGTAGACCTAAAAAAGTGCGCACCGCAAGTCCCGGGAAGCAATGGCGACACCGTACCCTATTTTTGAATTGTGCAAAAAAAACTTAGTTTTTTATATTGGTGACGAAATTCACCTAAGGAGTAAGAGTTTAGCTGGATTGATATCACAGTTCTAGCACCACCACTAGCAGGAAGTGACGATCACGACCACGACAGTACCCTAAGCTCCAGTACAATCATTGTGGACACACAAAGTACAACCGGTAATTTGGACACATAGCTGGATCAAAGTGAAGAGTTGGAGGAGTCGTGGAGGTAAGCTTGTAAAATCAACAATGGCGGCGGAATTTGATGGGGAGGAGAGCTAGAAGTGGTGGTGGCTGTGCCGCTGTGGGTACCTCAAGACAAGTGTGAATCTACATTGTGCCGTATGGGAGCCTAGGCCCCAACTCAATATCTAATGTTGCAGCTTTGAGGTCCAATGGTTTATTTATTGGCCCCAATGGCCCAACATCTGTGTCCCCATTGACTTTGGGTCTCCATTTGCCTTTTCGGCTGGGTCCGCTCCTGCTTTCAAAGTTCAAGGCCGTCCGGGGCGACTCGGAGGTGGCTATGGCGTTAAGATGTTCAAAACACAGATTTTGAGACTTCATTGCGTCCAAAATTTAAATAGCGGCATCGAACAGGCGTGTTGAACAAGTTCTGGCTAGTGTTGTTTAGTGATTTGACCAAAGCATTTTTGCTGCCATATATGCCTATCAAATGCTCTGAGAAGAATTCAAGAAATAAAATTAATAGCAAGTTGTGGAGGCATGTCAAAACACATCCATGAACAAGTTCTGAGAAGAATTCATGCTTTTCTTTTTTTTCAAAACGGAGTCAAAAGATTTGGCTCATCTCATTAATAAAGGAGGGGTAAACAAGGCTCATAGTTTAGAGAGGTCCAAGACGCATCTCATCAACATGACAAAAGAGGTAAACAAGGTTCAAACTCCCTTCATTTTTATTTAGTCCGCGTATTAGCTTTGGTCAAAATCAAGCTTTATAAACTTTGACCAAGTTTATAAAAAATAATATTAACATAAACAATAACAAATCGATAAAATTAGATTTAGTATTGAATGTGCTTTCACATCATAGATTTGTTATGACAAATGTTTATATTATTTTTTATAAACTTGGTCAAACTTTATGAAATTTGACTTCAGTGAACTCTAAAATGCTGAGTAAATAAAAACGGAGAGTGTATAGTTTAGAGAAGAATTCAAGAAATAATATTAAATGCAATATGTGAAGGTATGAGCGATCCTCTTTGTCATGTTTGGTTAAAGACTAAATCCATGAATCGTCTCTCCGTGGACAACGTATAGACTTGGTCCAGGTCGATCCACTAATAACAATTGACGTAAGGCATCAGATTTTGCCAGAAAAATCCAAAAATCTCATGTCAACCAACCAATCAATACCATCGCAGATTATCGTAGAAGAGAAAAATAACCCATTGCTGAGCAATACCTACGTATGTGCCGCAGCATCACGAACTGGATAATCCATCCTGCATTGCAGCGCCAGTTCGTACACTTGCCAAGTTGCATACATATGTGCAGAGTCAACTGCGATGCCCGTTCCAGGCGGCGTGCGTGTTTGTGATCCGGAGCTCCCATCTATCTATATAAGCTTGGAATTTAGAGCTACAATTAACCAGTTCAATTCAATCCAGCATTGGCTCTGAGAGAGAAGCAATGAAGCAAGGATTGATGACAGCCATGTCATCTGTTTCGCAGCTGCTGCTTCTCCTGCTGTGCAGCTACTATTCTGCCGTTGCCCGTGCTGAAGCCGTCTGCGCCGAGCAACCAGGTACGTACAGGTACAGCACACTAAAAATTGTCCAGTGCAGTTGTGATGATCGTGGTTTAACCTCGTTTGTAAATTTTATAGCGACTCCCTCGTCGTCCAGTGGACCCACGGTGCCGCTGAACCACCGGTATGGCCCGTGCTCGCCGGCGCCGTCCACGGTGGAGCCGACCGTCGCGGAGCTGCTCCGCGCCGACTAGCTCCGGGCCAAGTACGTGCAACGGAAGTTCTCTGGGACCGACGGGCTCCAGCCATTGGATCTCACCGTGCCGACCGAGCTGGGACTCGCCCTCGGCACGCTGCAGTACGTGATCACCGTCGGCATCGGCTCCCCTGTCGTGACCCAGACCATGATGGTCGACACCAGCGGCGACGTGTCGTGGGTGCACTGCCGCTCCCCGACCGGGTCGACGCTCTTCGACCCCAGCAAGTCGGCCACCTACGCCCCCTTCTCCTGCAGCGCCGCGGAGTGCACGCAGCTCGGCAACAATGGCAACGGCTGCTCCGACTCAACGTGCCAGTACGTTATCGAGTACACTAATCAGCCGAACAACACCGCGACGTACGGCTCCGACACGCTGGTGCTGAGCTCCTCCGACACGGCCGAGAACTTCCAGTTCGGTTGCAGGCAGGATGAGGCGGAGGTGGAGGACAGCATGGACGGGCTCATGGGGCTCGGCGGCGACGTGCAGTCGCTCGTGTCGCAGACGGAGGCGACGTACGGCAAGGCCTACTCGTACTGCCTCCCGCCGACCAATGCCACGTCCGGGTTTCTCACGCTCGGCGCGCCGAACGACACGTCGGGCTTCCTGTCGACGCCGATGATCAGATGGGAACAGATGCCGACGTTCCATGGCGTGCTCCTGCAGGACATAGTTGTGAACGGGACGCAGCTCAACATACCGCCTTCCGCCTTCGCCGCCGGGTCGTTGGTGAGCTCCGGTGCGTACATTACGCGGCTGCCGCCGGCGGCGTACACGGCGCTCAAGACGGCGTTCAAGGCCAGCATGATGCAGTACAAGACGATGCCGGCCAGGAGCATACTGGACACGTGCTTCGACTTCACAGGGCTGGAGCTGGACAGCATCACAGTGCCGGACGTCGCGCTGGTGTTCGACGGCGGCGCGGTCGTCAACCTCGACCGTAGCGGGGTCATCATAGGCAACTGTCTCGCGTTCGCTGCCATCACCAACCCCAGCGGCGTCCCCAGCGTCATCGGCAACGTGCAGCAGCGGACGCTGGAGGTGTTGCTCAACGTCGGCCAGAGCGTCGTTGGGTTCCGGCCAGGCGCATGCTGATCACTCATTTCCGGTGACTACTTCCTTGTTTGTCATTGTGAATTGTGCGGTAAGGGACAGGAAGGTCAAGTTCGTTCAGATGAATCTCTACTACTATTAAACAAGCAAACATATTCTTTTATAAACGCACCCAAAAACACGTACACAAAACAACCAAGATAAAATACCACCTCACGATTCGATCCACCTAATTAGATCTAACCGTTAATAACCCTCATCTGTGTACGTTTAGCAATTTAGTCTCTACTACTATTAAACAAGCAAACATATTCTTCTCTAAACGCACCCAAAAACACGTACACGAAACAACCAAGATAAAATACCACCTCATGATTCGATCCACCTAATTCGATCCACCTAATTAGATCTAACCGTTAATAACCCTCATCTGTATACGTTTAGCAATTTAGAGAAGCGGACGAAACTCTGCCATCTATCCATCGAGAGGACGGAACGTTCCGCTGCGAGCAAGAATTTAGCTGATTCGCGTGATTAAAGGCCTGCATGCAGCAACATGTCCCACGTTCGGCATTATGGCGTTCGCATGCATTCGTTCGGCCTGCCGAGGCGCATCTTCAGGAGAGGGGGGAGAATGAGAGGCCTGGCGGCGGCACAGGGCGTGCTCGCCGGCGAGCGTGCTCCCGCATCTGCCTGGCACGCGGGGTTGGATTGGGCGCTAGGGTTGCCCTGCCGCCGCCCACAGCAGTCAGGGGTTGACGGGGAGAAGCAGTCGGGCGGCGACGGAGGCGGCGGTGGCTCGATTACATCTATGCGACGATGACGGCTCGGCAGCGGCGAGTGGCCGATTCATCTCCTCGCTAGCCCCTCGCCCTTCAAAGGTTAAAGATCTGGCACCTTCTTCAACCCGACGCCCAGAACGAGCGGCGGATCCAGAAAACCAGTTCGTCAAGATATGCGCATACACAAGAAGTAGACATGCAGGCAGCTGGATGGATTTTTCTTACAGGAGGACACACACATATGGAAAAGGCAAGCCGCCGGTGAAGACAGCTTCAGCCTCACCATCAAGGACGGAATCACTGAAAGGTCAGCTTCATCCGAACCAACCGCGAGGACCATGCTAAGGTACATACATACATATACCAAGATCGATATTGACCGATGCTTGTGGTTGCAATTTCATATCCATCACTGATGTATTGGTGCTCATGGTGAGATGGGATAATAAGTGGAAACTTTTCACCGCTCAGTTCTTACCGAATGAATCTTTGTAAGTAATCTTTTTTCCCTACCCCCCTTATATTTACAGGAAATTCAAGTGTGGTACATATAAGAGTATGCTCTGCTTCCCTCTGTTGTACACATGTGGTTATTTGTTATCTCTGATTAAGAGAATCAAGGGCCACTACATTCTTGAATATTGAGACTGTGTTAGTTGGTTTAGGTTAAACTTGATAAATTCTATTTACTTCTTTTTTTCATTTGACAATTCAGTTGTACTATTGATTTTGACAGTTTTCAGGAATTTTAAGCCATCTTTGGATTTTAGCTTCCTCAATCATTCTGAATTATTTAATGTTAGTATGAGGTACATGAGTTCCCAAGATTAAACTTGAGAAATGTGTAGTTGACCACTTGGGTATGTTTGATTTCTTTAGTAGATGCAGCGACAAGCACCATTGTCCATGATCTATACTAAAGATAGATTATTAGCAGTGCAACATCTCTGTTGGTTCAATCAAATAGTTCAGCCTGGTCGGTTCTTACTAATATTTAAGCCACCTTCAATTTTTAGCTTGCTCGGTCATTTTGGAGTAGTTTCAGTTTTGGGTGCATGTCTTTAATAGAACAACAAACTTATTTTAGGTGCTAAAATAAACACTAAACGCCAATTCCTGATGGCGACTATTTTTAGAAAGACCATCCGGCTGGAGGAGATCCTGACTATCGATGTCAAGCCGCGGTGGAAGAAGGGCACGAAGATCACCTTCCTAGATGGAAGGATCCGATTTTTCCGGTGCAGTTCTGTGTTTTAAAAAGTTATTGCGATGTAATTTTTTATTAACACTACAGTCCATGAAGTTATATTTACGGATATTTCATTTTTCGTATAAGATGAAGCACCATTTTATTTTTAAATATTTTCTGAAGTACAATTTGTGAATAAACGGAATGATGTTTCAGAGGATATGAATGGTTGTGACTTGTGGGGTCGCCTGGGGAGGCGACTGCGGCAGGGAGCAGCGGCACATCGGCGGACAACAACACATGTGTAGCGTGCAGCGGCAGCGGCTGCACGGCCACGACGGAAGAGCAACAACGCGAATGAGGTGCAGGTGGGGGTAAGAGTAAGTATCACTTGTCATGTTTAACTCATGGCAACAAAGAGTAAGGATCACTTCACACTCACTACAGGAAGAATACTGCTGTGACGATTATATACACATATGTTCCACTTGGTCGCTTAGTTAGTATTAATTTCCAATCTATTCCTTTTTCTTGCAGACACGTTTTGAAACTAAGACTTTGATGAGAAGTTCATCCGTATATGGGAATTATACCTTTTGTATGCCTCTGGTTTCACATCATGAGCAGTTAGGAATTACCATGTATGGACATATGTATGTGTGCTCTTTGTGTAGGTTTACCTGCATTATTCCTAGACAAATGGAAGTCATATACTCCCTCTGTCCTTCGAAAAACATCTTGCTAGAAATTGTTTGATGGTTTCAAATGCAGACTAAAATTTGAGTTGATGTTGCCTTTTGCAATTATGTTAATCTCAGCCATAAGATTGAGAGAGATCAGCAGACATTAGATCTTTGAGTAAAAAGTAGTAACTTAGAAACTTTGGTGAACGGTAGAAAGTGAGCTTTCGTTGTTTGAGATTGTAAATAACATGGGATGGAGACTTGACCGCCACATAATTATTTTACACTGACCTATTGAACCGTGAAACAACATTGCTGAGCTTCAACATTTCGGTAAAACATCACATGGAAAATCGGCTACAACCAACCAGATTGTTAAATTGTGCATCCTGCTTGTTGTTGAATTGTGCAAAAAGGCTACATTGTATTAATTTCTTTTTCGCATAGTCAATATTTTTTCAGCACATTTTGTATCAACTGATAACTTTGAATCTTTGCGTCTTTCATCAGATCATGCTTTGAATTTGCACATGAATAACTAAAAGTGCCATGACATTACGCATTTCCTTCGTTTTAGCCATTAAACTTACTTATGTATCCGGTGTTAATTTATCATTTCTTGTATATTCATCTTAGTTAGGAAGGGTGGCTTTGGTCATCCTAAATTTTGTGTTGCTTCTTTTTTCAGTCCTGGCTAGCTTTGCGAAACAATAATTATTATACTCCTTGATCTGCACATGCCCAATTTCCTTATACCGTATAGTGTCTCATTCTAGAATAGTAGCCTTTCTGCTCCGCTAAGATGTTGAAGCACGACGACATTTTTAACTCATGTTTAATATTGACAGAACTAAGCATTAGGTAGAGAAAGGGTTGCTTGCATGCCATTCATGTCATAGAGAAAATGTTAAATTCCCTCTCTCCAATTCCTTACCATGAACCTAACGCTTTATTGACCTGTTTTTAGCTTCTAGGTGTTCTGCAACTATATACACAATAGATACTGTTTGTTTGAACTGTAGTTCCACTCCATGAAAAGCTGAGATAAACTGAGAATGGGGTAAAAAAATCCGACTCTTCCTGCTCGCAGGTGGTGCCCGCTATGGCATGGGTGGCTTTACCGCAGCCGCTGAGCCTTCAAATTCTGAAGATAACAAGCAGCTCGAATCCAAGAAGAAAACTAATTTAGTTCAGCCAACACTCCTATTTTTTGTGCATCTTTGTTCCAACTTTGCATTGACGCCATGTCCACTTGGACAATGTTCATATGTTACTTTGATTTTCGCCCAACAAAATAAACATTCTGAAATCTTTGTAGGAATAGACTAAATAGGCTACGCCCTTACATTCTTTGTGGAGAAGTTGTTCAGCCAGTCTATTGCCATTGATTTGTGTCATCCTAAAGTTTGAATTCAAAATTTTATACCCGTAAAATTTGATACGGTTTGATTGAGACGTGCGACGTGCGTTGCACGTACACACTTACTAGTAATAAGTTAATAACTGACTTTGGATTGAGCTGGCTTTTGAGTTTATAAAAAACTCAAAACCCTTCAAGTCCAAAGAAACTGAGTCGGACTGGAGTGTATCCAGACAAGCTTTAGCTGGGCTAAATTTGTCTACTACGTTTTGATTGGGATGTTTTGTGACAGCAACATGATCGATGTTGTATGTTTTGCTGGTTAAGTTTGTTTGTAATCTCATCTATGACCTTGTTAGTACCCTGTGTTGCTTGTAATAAGATGGTATTTGTTACGGTAATGATAATCGTTGGGAGGGATGACAACTACAAACATTTTAATGTCATGTTTAGTTGTCACAAGGATGGCAATTTTAATTCACAAACATGACAACTTTTTGGTGAAAAACATAACTACAACGGAGTTGACATGCCCGCTACCTAAAATTGGCATACTCGAAGCTTGGCTAACACAAATTGCCATCAAAATCGTTCACAAATGTCATTCCACCCAGCGAACGTTTGCTGGTTATGAGGGTTCTTGTTACTGGTCTGGTTTTCGCTCCATAGCCTGTTTTCGAGAAAAGGGTAAGGCCCAGGCTCCATTTCATTGAAAGGAAACCAAACATAATTCAGGCTCTTATCACACGCTCGCAGAGGAATACCCTGAAATGCCTACGCAGCAGGAAACTGCTAAACAAACAAACAAGGAAATAAAAAGGAAAGTCTCTAACAACGAAAAAGAGAAAACACAATACAGCCACCTGTAGTACAAAACAAAGGACAACAATCAAAAAGCAATGTGGGCGATCTTGACCACAAGGCCATCTTCAACAAGCTTCAGGGCCGACATGTGGGCCTTTCTCCCGAGTCCAGCAAGTGTTGTCCACCATTTCATTTCTTCGTCGCAGACAGTAGATGTCTCCAGG